TACCTTCTACTGACAAAAGCTGGACCGATCTATATCGGACACATGAAAATTTCAAAATGCCATATATCAGCGAAAGAAAAAGATATTTAAACAAACAACGGTATTTGAAATGGCAAATCTTGTTCTGTTCTGATGTCTACAGTTCTTCGAAAAAAAAAATGTCATGCTACATAACCCTAAATACAATCAAAAATTGCTATTGGTGCTTTTTTTGGTTAGGATACCTTGGAAACTAGAGCCAATTGAGAGGCTTGAATAACGGATCCGGAGTCAACGCATCAAAAACCTTCGGGAAAGCATATATTCTGGTTTCTGGGTGAAAATGTTATCGGCCTGTGTTCTTTACGTCAAGAATTACATTATATAGAAAAATCCAAATATAACTGACAAAGTGATGTCGACGAGTAATATGTTTAACACAAAGAGTCCATGCGAGAAAGCCCTGAACACCCTAAAAATCCTTAAACAAAATAAAAAAACAATAAAGAGGCAAATGAAAGACGGAGAAACACAAAAAGGCAAAAACGTAGAAAGAACCCCCGGGAGCTGGCAACGGACGCGAAAAACAAATATCTACAACTTGTCAGCGACTAGGAATGTTAAAACGATATTTTTGCTCACACAAATGCTGCTAAAGTAGCTGGTGATTCTGTAACAACGTTTTTGTCAGTTTTAAGAATGTTTTTGACGATGAGCTTTTAACTGAAGTTCGTAAATTATTCCATGAGTGAACCGCCACATAAGCAAACGATCGTCGGAAGGAACGCGTCCTATGCCTTGGTACGTTAAAATTGAGATTATTTCTGCTCCTCCCCAAAGGCACAAATCTTTCTCTTAAATAGGGCGGTTGACCTGTTTTTATAACCCTATAGATAAAAGAATACATGTGATATTTTCTGCGATTCATCATGTTTAATATCTTGTAGTTATTTAGATAAGGAGTGATATGGTTTCAATATGGAATTCCAAACGCAACTCTTATGCAACTATTTTGAACTTTTTGTATGCATTTTTTGGTTCGCGACGATAGCGAAACACCGTAGACGACATCTCCATAGTCAAAAAGTGATAAAATTAAGGTATTATACAAATAATATTCTTGTTTGGCTGATAAATGTCTTTTTAATTTGTTTATATTTCTTAGTCGCATGTAAGCTAAATTTGTTCTGTTTTTTATATAACTTCCGAAGCCAAGCAAGCTATCAAATATAATGCCTAGATTTTTTGTCTCCTGAACCATGAGGATTCTGCCATTGTTAATATATATTACTAAATTTTGTTCAAAATGTTCTCTTTCATTACTGTTTTTATTCATAACCATTACTTGCGATTTTGAGGGGTTTAGTTTAAGATTGCTGCTTTTCAAATCTGTCAATAGTTTGGAGATCTGAATTTAGTTGTTGTTGTGCAATATGGATTGTGGCTTTATTGAAAGGGAGATATATTTGTGAGTCATCTGCATATTGTTTTATCTTTGCGAATTTTACCGATTTGACCATGTCAGCTATGTAGACTGAAAATAGCAAAGGAGATAAAATTGAACCTTGAGGTACTCCACTTTTTATAGGTCTAAAAAAAATCGGTTTTGTAAATAGCAGAATCATTTGCTAACATAACACAGTTTGAACGGTTGCTTTAGTATGTTTTTGAAAACCAAATATTAATGACGCCGTAATGCGAACGGGAGAGAAGCGCGAGAAGCATGCAACACATATGTTAGAAAGAGGTAGAAGCACCTCGTTGCCTAGCAACCCGAGTACGAGGACACGGTTGCCATCGGCGCACTCTTTCTAACATACACATGACACGCTTCTCGCTCTTCTGTCTCGTACACATTACGACGTCAGCCAAATTTGAACCTCACCGTTATAGCAAACATATCTAGTTGACGACAGAATTTTGAGGGAAGTACAGTCTTCCTACTTGTCAAAATGTGCAATCATTCCACTGGAAAACATTCACGTTGTGCTGAATATCTTAGCTCTCAGACTTCGATAGACGGTACTTTTACCGAGGAAGTAGTACGTTTTCCTTGTCCTATTCTTACCACATGAATCGTATGGAAGCATTCCTTCACTCTGATGCTAGTCGATTTCAGTTTGCAATTTTCGGGGAGGATATCCACCAAATACGCTTCACCCCTGACCCAATTACTAAATAGCTACATTTAATTTGCAAGTTTACTTTTCTACTTAACTGTTCAATATACATGCAAACGTAAATGAAAAAGTTTACCGCTTCTTTAAATAAAATAGTTTAATTACATATGGTTAACAAAAAAAGGCTAGGTTAGGACTACCCGTACTTAATGTTGAGAAGGATTAACTATACAGGCGACACTAGCCGTTGTATGTAGCAATTATAAATACACATTTGACTTGAAATGCTTCTGCCTAGAAACATAAGGATTTACTTGTGCTCTGTAAATACTCTCGCAAAAAGGGAAACCTTGTCACAACGCGAACGCCCGCCGGTAATCCGCCATTATATGAGAACTTAACCAGATGCCTCTAAAGTGGAGTGAAGTTCCCTTCTCGACAAAACTCCCGGCACCGGATCATCCGATTGCCACTAACTTAAATTGCACTTATTTGTAGAAATCCGGCGTAAAAAGCTTTGCGAAGAGCCTTTATAATGCACCGAGAACGATTTTAAAATTGGAGAGACTTAAAAAAATAGCTGTTATCAAGAGGAGCATTTTAATTGAACGTGTCAGGTTATCTCAAAAACTTTTTAGTGTTTGTAAAAACTATACTGGCGTCCCATTTTAATCTCAACATATAATTATTTCGAAAACTACGCACCCTAGGAAAACAGCTTAAAACAAAATTTGTAGGGTTTCGAGAGGGCAAAATGATGGTGACTTTGAATATGACTTTCACAGGTCATTCAAGATCATTTCACGGTTATCTGAATATTGAACAAGAACCTCCTCTTTTTACTCAGGAATTGGAGAGAGGAGGAAATTCTAAATCCGAATATGAACTTGACTGTAACCATGACCTTCACTGCCATTTCACACTCTCCTAAAAACAATGCTCTTGCAAAAATGTTCGAGTGCATAACTATGAGGTTTGTGGGGGTCACCTAGCAGTGACATTGAACATGAATTTGATTATGACCTTCAAGATCAAATCAAAAATTTCAAACGAAGCCCCTCATTTTTATCCTGAAATTGGAAATAGCAGAAAATGTTACGTCCGAATGTGACCTTGACCGCAAAGTCAAGGTTATGTCAATATAAATGATTTTGATTTTCAAGCCAAAATAGCAGAGGCAAGAAATTTTATATTTAAACGTGTAAAATTCTGACATGACCTTGATAGTGATGATCAGGGTCACCTTTGGGTTACCCTCACAAACCTCATAAATGTGCTGTACTTGCGCAAATTGTTTAAAACGTTTTGATTCGATCTTGAAATGGCCTAGAATGTCATTGAAATGAAATTGAAGCTCGCAATCAAAGTCGTAGTCAAGGTCATTGTCATTTCGCCCCCTCAAAATCCTACACCTTTTGTTTGAAACTTTTTTCTAGCACGGGTAGATTTCCAAAAAAGTAGGTAGAGGCTAAAATGGGATATCATGTAAAAAGAATTATAGAATATTGTCAGTTTAGATTCAGTACGTAAATATGTAAAAAATGTTCATATAAACACGGGATTTTTATGCTTGCCCGTCTTTTAAAAATTGTGCGCAGCAGTTTTTTTGCCAAACACGTCGATGTGTTGAATTATAAAAATAATTTGTATTACAAAAAGAGGGCGGGGTAGATGGAATTATTGCTTCTCCTAACTCTGCCTCGCGGAGACATATACATTTTCCTAATTTTGTTTTTCATATTTAGAGAATATCGTTCGTTAGGCACCCTTCCCTACTCCGACACTTAAACCCTCCCTCTGACACCCCCGCTCACTCGTGTAGGGTGCCAAAAGTTTTTGAGCGGGCCCTGTGGGGACATGGCATATGTCATTTTACTTTCCACGCCTATTGGCAAGGAGCTATTGTAATCGCGAAAATTTTCGAAAATCAGTCATTATGTTTTAAAGATCTTATATGACATGAACATTACGAAAAACCATGTCACTCATTTCCGTCGCTCTCACGTCTGTCTGTCTGTCGGTCTATTTGCAAATTCTCGGCCTGTTTATAAATTGAAAATTACTGCTCGGATTTGGATGAAATTTCTACATAGGTTTACTACTATGCCAAGGTCGAAAAAGCTTTGTAGTTTTTGGAAATCGGTGCAGGATGGTGAAGAAGAATGCCAACAATGAAAATAATAGAAATCGCTCATTCTTCGTATTTTGAGGTTTCAGAGGATCCTGATCATATGTGAAAATATTTTTGAAGGTAAAAATTGGGGGTGGGGTTGTGAGGGTGGTTTGCAATTTTCTTAACAGTACACTCTTGATCCCGGTAATTATACGCATGTATTTGACAAATCTTACACATCATAGATTTCCTTAAAACAGAAGGAGAGAGAAATGTTTTTGATATGCGTCCCTGCGTCTGCTGTTTGGCTTCACCGGCCGGCGTAACAGACTTCATAAATGTCCTCGTATGACTGGCGCCGTGCCGCGGCGCCGCGTCACGCATCGTGCAATCGGGCATTGGGGAGAGGTGGCGCTGCCAGATTGACGATACTACGGGTAGGGCAAGTAAAGAATGTCTATGGACATGAGTTTATCCGTTTGATTTCTCTGTAACTATCTAACATAAACATGCGGCCTTCGTCTGGCCGATCAAAGACAGTCAACCATGGACAGCCGTTTCGTGATTTTTTTACAACTCATCAGCTTGGTCTCTGCAAATTCCTCTATCCAAGATGCAAGGGCTATGGCGTCGACTTATTTCGATAGATTGTAACTTGTGCTGTACATAATCCTTGATAAACTGATGGCGGCGTTGCGTGGGAAGTGCAGAATCAACCTACTTGACGCCATTTCTGGTAGTATCCCGGCACTTATTACCGACAAATTAGTGTTTTTTCTTATTTCCAGAGCCGACTCCGTGACATGGAATCCTCACAAACTCATGGGTGCATTGCTACAGTGCTCTACAATCCATTTCAAAGAAGATGTAAGTATACCTTCTCCTTATTCTTGGATATATGAAGAATGTTGATCCGATGTAAAACACTGTCAACCTCTTACGATGCTTAACACTATACAGAGTGATTCACAAGTCGTGACCAAAAATGAAACATGGATATTAATTAATATTTTCAGAGCTGTTGATATTTAGTACGTAGGGAAATATAATATAATATAATAAAGTTGCATATTTTTTAATGCAAAAATAATTTTTAGCTTTAACAGTGGCGTGCGTACGGGTATTGACTTCGATATATTTTAAGAAAAAAATGGTACGCCAATGATTTTTTGCCAAATAAAATAATAATAAAATAATTTTTGAATTTCCCGTTCAATTTAAAACAAATGATCTTTCTTGAGTTGCTTTCCTTCGATACGCCATTTTTGAGTAAAAAAATAAAAACCGTTCTATTGTCCGAGAAAATTAATGTAATAATTGAAGAATGCAATTTAGCAATACATATCTAGGTGCTCTGGAATATGTCACTGGCTTTTGACATCTGACAAATCTCTGTTAATCAAATCTGTTCACTCTGACATCTTTTTCGATATTTAGTTTTTACAATCTTGTAAATAATGGTGAATTATTCAAATGCAGAAATGGCGGAAATGCATTACGTATATGGCCTTGCCGATGGTAATGGTGAGCAAGCCAGACGGATTTATCACCAAAGTTATCCCGATCGAGCTTTGCCAGATAGTCGAACCTTTTCTAATATTCATCGGCGTCTTGTTGAAACTGGTTCTGTCCGAAAAGGAACATCTGAAGGTATGCCTCTAAGTGTGAGAACACCAGAGCAGTGCTACACGAAGTCGGAGAACATCCTGAAACGAGTACGAGGAAGATCGTTAGTCACTTAAATATATGCCATCAAATTGTTTGGAGAATTTTAGTGGATTTTTTGTTATACCCTTAAATATGTTAAGATAACAGGCATTACTTCCCATTGATTTTCCAAGGCGTGTGATCTTTTGTTAGTGGTATCTTCAAAAAATTACACAAAATCCGCAATTTGAATCAATGATTCTGATCACGGACGAAGCTAATTTTTCTCGGAATTCCATTCAGAATGTCTACAATAATCATTTGTGGGCAGAATAAGATCCCTGTGCCGTAACGGAAACCCATTTCCAACACCAATTTTCGGTTAACGTATGGGCAGGAATTATTGACGGACAGACTTCCACTACGTACTAAATATCAGTGAAATATCTGAAGCGGTTTTGAAAATATTAATTAATTTCCATTTTTTTCCTAAAACTTCAATACCACGAGTTTTTGTACCATAGTTTATAAAACAAACTAACATTAATTTTTTATGTAGATTCACACACAAAAACGTATTTCCGCAAAATTTGTTGTGGCTTGAATTTGATGAAATGCATTATCTATTCTTTCTTGTAACTGATCAACAGTATTAATTTGTTCAGCATACACTAGTTGTTTAAAAGCGCCCCACAAAAGAAATCCAGGAGATTCAAATCCATCGTTGTCTAAAATGATTATTTAACCATGCGGTTTTGTCTAACACATTTTCTACGTAATTCTTTAGAAAAGCTAAGTATGAGTTTGCATTTAAACGTTGTGGCAATACGGCAAAAATCTGTGTTGAAATGAGTGGATTCTTACCGAACGGGGATTTTCTAACGACCCAATATATTCATTATGAGAATTAAAGCTTCCATTCCTCGTAAAAAGCGATTCATCTGACCACAAATGCAATTAGATCTGCATTTTAATTATGCATTTGCAGTAACCACTCAAAAAATTTTTGCTGGGTTGCAGACATTGCACATTTTGCCGATGGTAAGGATGTAAAACTTTAAAAATTTAAAATTCTTCACGCAAAACTTTGGGAACATGGTGATTGGACTGCAATCCGCCAAGTACTTGTACTAGGATCATCCAATGCCAAATTAATCACTTCTAGTTCCTCTTGAACGGTATGCCGGCCTTTAACTCCGGGAAGTTTGGCAATTCCATATTGCCGATGTCTTGTTTTATTTTTATTTGTACGAAAACAGAATAACACACACACAAGAGAGATTATTTATAGCAAATTGGAGGTACAATTTGAGAAATTGCGCATTTCGAAACAAACTGCGGCGTACTTTTTTTATTTGGAGAAATAATGCCACTTATTCCCTGTATCTCCGCCACTGGTGCAAGTTAACTTTAGGTAAAGACTTTTGAATGTGGACAATACTCAGGTAAGTCCACATGCCAAATTTTAGTTCATTCCAGTTGATGTATGATTTGGTCACGACTTGTGAATCACCCTGTATATGATGTTACCTAACGATAGTCCGTAGTTAAAAGGACGCATTAATAAACCAAGAAGTGGAAAAGTTTGTGTCCTAAAACGTCTGGTTTTTAAGATATCTACATGATGTCAAAGCTTTATAAAAATCTTGTTTTTTACCAACATCTCAAAGATCTTTCTTTTTTCAACATGTAATTAAGTTGTCTTTATTTTTACTTTCTCTTGAGAACAAAGTAGGATAGGAAGAGATAGCAAGAAGACAAAATATGTAATGGTATTGTGACGAATCATACTTTCGACGCCATCTGTTGGGCGAGTCTCCTACTCGCTAGAGCTTCATGGCCGATCCTGCTTTTACGCGAATCACAACCGCATCAGCCACCTGGCGGCGGATCGCCATCTATAGATCGACGCACGATGCGGACTATACAGAGTGACTTCGAAGTTGAGTCATTTATTTTAACAGTGAGTAGATCTGATCAAAAGAAATGTTTTTTTCCTTTACCATTTTTCTGGTAAAATTAAAGTAACAAAGTTATAACCCTTTGGAAGTTTGAGTACCGCACTGTCTCAATAATAATATTATGTGCTCGTGTTTGGCAACAACGGATATAATCCGCTTTATCGGTTCATCGCATCGGAAACAAAAAAGCGAAAGAATTTGGAACGATGTTTTTACAATTATTTTATTCAGTTGTATACAGTCAGTGTCAGTCGGTAACGCGTGAGTGAATAGTGGTGTCTGTTGCGTGGCTCAAACGAAATAAAAAATGGCACATGTTTATGCGGATCGGTTTCCCAATCGAGTGTAACCAACCCCTCGTGCCTTTGTTAATGTAGTACAACGGGCTCGTGAATCAGGTGACTTAAGACCTCACAGGGGACGGCATGCCGGTGCTCCAAGACCTCACGATCAAATACAGGTCCGCACTGGAATACTTGTCGGGAGGATACTTTATAAAACAAGGTAAAATTTTTTTTTTATTTTTTTTTATTTTTACACACATATTTTGGTTTATCTTCCTTCTACAATCATTATCTGAAAATTAATGACTCAACTTCAAAGTCACCCTGTATAACTCAGCATGAACTCGGCGGTCGGGAGACAGAAGAGAGTACGGAATACGGTGGAGTAGCAGAGCGAAGAGAAGTATAGTACAGTCAATGGTGCCATAAGAATTAGTCGGACATAAATAGTGGTGCATATAAATGTTTTATCCAGTTAAATAAATTAGTGCATTTCTTTTTGTGGAATCCAGTGTTTTAATCCACACCCATAAAGAACCCAGAATAACGCTACAGTATTATGAGCTGCTTAATCCTAAAACACATTTTCTTTTTAAAAAGTGGCGTACATTTTTTCTCTCAATATTATTCGTGAGCTGCTCCCGAACTCATAATTATCTTCTAGTTAGTGCGAAATTAGCTTCTTATTGGAATAAGCAACACTGCCAAAATCGTCACAAGGATCTTTGAGATGTTAATAAACTGTACAGTACCTATCCTACCTATCACTAAGTAACACCCTATTTACCTGTCGGCCGCCGCTCTTCGGTGCCACTGTTACCACATCTCGGACTGTCGCCGCAGTTTATGTGATGTCCTTTCCCTTCATTACTCGTAAGAACTTTTGAAAACAAAATTTAGGAATAATTACGAGGAAGGTTGAGGGCTGATCTTTCTTTGGAAGGTAGATGTCATGCCTAGTAATAAACTATTTCCTTTAAAAGGAAAATTGAGTCTATTTTATGACTTTTAAAGAAATTACTGCGATCTTACTTGGCAACATGGCTGTGACGATATAAATTGTACTGGAACGTCCATGACCACCCTCTGCTCTCTCTGAAAATCCTTTTCGCTCTTAAGATCTGCATATTTAGCATGACTAGGTGAACAATTTTGGAGGTTCTTAGGATTTGACCTCCTTTGAGAAAATTTTCTGTTCCCTGCTTTTCAAAAAATTTGAGGGCAGGTACACTTTCACAATAAGGTGTCTGCGGACCTCGTCTGAAAAATTCGTGTAGGCGTCCATGTCTTCATGGATAATACGTTAATCAATAGTTTGAAAAAGTAAGAGCATCCACAATCTACAAGCATTACTTCTTGTTTTTTAGGGATTATTGATGAGCTGTAACCAAATGTCTGCTGACTACTTGTTCATGCAGGACAAGCTTTACGACATCAGATACGACACAGGTGACAAAGTGATTCAATGTGGAAGGCATAACGATATTTTCAAACTGTGGTTACAATGGAGAGGAAAGGTATGTATGGCAAAGCTGAGTATATAATTTCGAAATAATACCAGATATACAAAATGTACTATTTTTGTACTTTATAATTGAATGTGTGCAACAGAGTGGCGAAAACCATTCAAAACGTTCCGAAATCTTGATGACTGATAAACGAAATGAAAAAAGTGTCATACAGAGAAAGGATATTTTAATTTTACAGTATAAAGTACGAGTATATTTACACTTTTTAGTAAAAAGATCATATTTTACTTTCAATACTCTTGCGATAGTTCTGGACATTATCGTGACGAACTCCTCGAGAACAGATGATTTAAGATGCTTGAACGTCTTTTTCAAGTTGTTTCCGTGTGGTCTGTATCCACTGGACTCAAAAAACAACTTCGTCGCAAAGAAATAGGTCGGATTAAGATCGGAGAACTGAACTAGAAGCTTAATGGTTTGTGATGTATTTTTTGAACAAGAAAAAGTACAGGGTGGGCCAAGAATTCGTTAACATTTAAATTTAATACACCACGCAAACAGATGCCGCGCGAAGCGCGTGGAAGGGGCTAGTCGCTAGCTCGTTTCTCGGAAATTCAGTCGCAATGGATCTCTTCACGGGGCCGCAACGCGCTTACTGTGTGAAACAATTTTATTTAAACAACAGTTCGCTCATTACTGTGAGACGCTTATTTCGCGTTAAATACAATTTACACGACTTAAGTCAGTGTTCGAGTGCTCCTTTGATAAATAAATGGGTGAAGAAGTTCGAAGAGACGGGATCTACACTGAATGTGAAGCAAACCGGCGGGCCCACGGACTGCTCGGAGCGAAGAGAACGTGCAGCAAGTTTCGACGCGCAAACGTTCGGCTGAATTAGGATTATCCCGCACGTCATTAGGCCGTATTTTGAGATTATATTTGAAATTACATCCATATAAGATCCAGATAGAGCAGTAACTAAAACCTAATGATTTAAATTTGCGCAAGTCGTATGCCGAAACGATGTTAGCTCGATTCAGTAATTTTGGCAATCTCTTATTTTCTGACGAAGCCCATTTCCACCTCAACGGATATGTGAATAAACAGAATTGCAGGTACTGGAGCAGCGGAAATCCCAAAGCTAAGCACGAGAAGCAACTTTACTCTCCTTAAGTAACTGTATGAGCTGCAATTTCAGCAAAAGAAATCATTGACCCCTACTTCTTTGAAGATTTTCGAGGCCATTCAGTTACTGTTAATTCTGCTGAATATGTGAGAATGTTACGGGAGTTCTTGGCACCGAAGCTACTGGAATTTGCTGGCTATAATCGTAACACATGGTTTCAACAAGATGGAGCCACGTGTCATCCAACGAGTCCCTGCCGGTGGTCAAGGAAATGTTTCCGGAAAAGCTCAATTCCAGACGAGGCGACATCCCATGACCACCTAGAAGTCCAGATCTATCCCCACCAGACTTTTTTATGGGGTTATTTTTAAAGAGTCGTGTCTACATCAATAAACTCAATAAACCCAGTACACTCCGTCAACTAAAAGAAAACATCAACGAGGAGATGTCGGCGATCTCGCAGTCTTTATGACGACGAGTATTCGAAAACTTCGGTACACGTTTAGAAGAGTGCAAAAATCGTAACTAATTAGCTTTCTTGTGAATAAACAATTTTTAAAATATGTCAAATGTTTTTTCATATGATTTTTTCAAATGTAAACTAATTCATGGCCCACCCTGTATAACAAAATTTGATTCCATTGGTATCTATCCGCGGGAATCTCTTCGCGCACACGAATCTTGCGGTATCCATTTCCATTCAGTATTTTGTCAATCGCACACAACGTAGAGACATCATTGAATGGAAGTGCTTTGAGGACCATCACAAAACCGGGTTTGGGCGTCGCTTATGTATTTATACCATCTTTTACCGAAAACCTTGAATATGAATTAATCTAAAAAATGTTAGTATGTTTTACTTCCCTAGACTAAAACCAAAAGAATTAGGCTTCTACGATACCAAAACGTGATTTGAATGGACAAACCCAAATTGGATATTTTCAATAACTGAAGAAATCGTATGCGTGAGTCCGGGATCATGAAACAGCAATCTCCAACTTCATAATTCCACCCATGAATGGTGTTTCTCTATTACACATGATTGATAAGGATGCCTAATGGAAAAGGATATCGTATTCATGAAAAGAAGGCTTATCGAGCCTGGATTCGTTATGTAACCAAGACAACGACTAGAAGCGCTAATCTAAACTGTGTTAAAGCTGTTTGTTTAAAAGATAATTTGGAGACAATGACAAACCATTGTTGGTTCCCTCTTCTCAGTCCCCAGTCTCAATCGGATCGAATTTCTTTGGAATGAACTTGATCGGTCAGTCTTAAAGCAGTGCGCACAAAGAGTACTCTAAAGTCTAAAATAACTTGAAAAACCTTAAACAGCTACTCTTGAAGAAAAAGAAATTTTCTGACCAAAGGAATGTGTAGGTACATATATTATGTAAGTGGCGTTCCAAATATGTTTACGGCTATTCTTTAAAGTCCATATCGGACTAGGAAGTAAAATGAACTATAACTAACTATATTTTTTCACTTTCATATGTCGTAGGGTTAAAAGTATCCGGCACGGGTATTACGTTTCTTGAAAAGTAACTCTCGTCGTTTTTTTTTACTTTTCGTAGATTATTATACAAGATGTTAACTTAGCACAAGCTGTACGTGTTGCTTAAACGTTAGCGAACAGCGATCATATGAAGCAAACGTGTGATGAACTATTTGCATACTAAAAACTATCTAGTCTGCAAGATAATATTTCTTTTTTTAGTTTTTTTTTTGTTTTTTACATAATAGCCGTGCTGACTCTTGAACAGTATTTTATCCCCTATACACTATACAGGGTGATTCACAAGTCGTGTCCAAAAATGGATCGTCATACACAGGACCGCATTTTAAAGCGGATCTTCTATGTAACATTTTTAGCTGAAGCGCTTCATTACAAAGATACGGGTTGAAGCTTAAAAATTAAAAGCTTTTTTTTTAATATCTTCAAAACCGTCAACTGCGACGAACTAAAATTTGGTATGTGGATTTACCTAAGTATTGTCCACATTCAAAAGTCTTTAATTAAAATTAACGTGCACCAGTGGCGGGGATACAGGGGATTAGTAGCATTATTTTTCCAAATAATAATAGTACGCCACTGTTTTTGTGTTTTCGTAAAAATAAAAAAACAAACTAGATAATCAAAGCTTTATTTCAATAAATGTTCAAAAAGACCACCATTCTGACGAATACAAGTGCGGCATCTTATTAATAAAAAAAACGTATTTTCGCAAAATTTGTTAATGCTTGAATTTGATGAAACGCATTATATATTCTTTCTTGTAACTGATCAACAGTATTGATTTGTTCAGCATACACTAGTTGCTTAAAAGCGCCCCACAAAAAGAAATCCACGGGTCCGTTTCTGCCAATCCATCGTTGTCTAAAATGATTAACCACGCGGTTATGTCACGACGAACACGCGGTGGGGCACCGTGGTGCTGATACGAAATTCGTACTCTCATTGCTGACGGAACATCATCTAACACATTTTCTAAGTAATTCTCTAGAAAAGCTATGTATGAATTTTCATTTAAGCGTTGTGGCAGTACGTCCATAAACAGTTGGCCGTTGAAAATGCCGCACCAGAAATTTCTAGAAAATCTGTGTTGAAACGAGTGAATTCTTACAGAACCGGGAAATGGGAAAAAGAAACCCTTGACTGACCTTTTACAAAAAAAAAATGGTAGAAACGATAACAACCGTATAACACATAACTTTGACAAACTATCTACCACGAAACGTCAAGTTGGTATCAAGGCCTCTTATTTTATTTTGAAACTAATTGTATCTTGGCTCTTTATAAATTATCTAAATTGTTTTGTTTTTATTTTTACGAAAACAGTGCACTCTAGGAAGGAAACACAAAAACACTGATGTACTATCTTTGTTTGGAAAAATAATGCCATTAATCCCCTGTATCTCCGCCACTGGGGTGCGGTAATTTTAAGTAAAGACTTTTGAATGTGGACAATTCTTAGGTAAATCCTCATACCAAATTTTAGCTCATTCCAGTTGACGGTTTTGAGGATAATGAAAAAATGTTTTTTTATTTTCAAACTTGTGTTACAAGACCCCCCTTAAAATGAGGTATACTTTATCTGAAGTCACTTGAAATAGCATAAAAACCTTTGGTCGGCGCGTCCTTTGTAATTTCATGACGTATCATAGGCGTGCGGTCATTTATTTAGAACGATAATAATAATGTTTTTATATCACAATAAATGGATTTTACTATCTTCTTATTTTTTTGATTTGGGATAAAAAATACTTATATTGGGAGTTTAATTTATGTTGACTGAAAGTTAAGAAATGGAAAAATTACAGAATTCCAACGTTTGACATAGGCAAATATTTACATAGCAGGTAGGTATATAAAAAGGTATATAAAGACTTACATTATAGGTATTTATATATCATCCTCGCCTTCGGAGCTGTCGCTAGAGTCATCTTGTAGAGGAATTACAACGGGATTTACAGGAGGCAAAACACAATATTCATTTTCTTTTTCAATAATATGCCTAGAACACTGCTTCCATAGGTCTGTGGCAGCAATATGAGATACTGCATCTCTTATTGTGGCCAATAGCGATTCACTTAATTGAGGGGTCTGATTATGTTTTCTTACTTTTTTTTTAAAGCAGCCCAGACCAACTCAATCGGGTTAAAAATGCAGTAATAGGGAGGTAGACGTAATACTTCATGGCCATTTTGCTGAAGCAGATTGTCAACAACATACTCTTTTTCAAATTTTTGTCTTTTAATAAGATCCAATAATATGGCTTTGGTTGATTTTTGTGGTATTTCCATTCCCTTATCCTTCATAAAATCAATAATTTCTTGTTTTTTTGTGCCTGTATTCGGAATTTTGTTTTTCTGTCGGGAATGGTATGGCGCATTGTCCATAATAATCACTGAATTTGGGGAA